TTATTATATGAATTAAATACATTAAATACATAGGGGATTTGCAAAATTCATGGATGGATAGACAAAATAGTTGAGACCAAAGCTTAGGTTTGGTTGCAGGATTGGTAGGAGTCGGTGACGGAGACCTCGTAGAAGATACCCAGTTCAGCTTGCTCTGCAATAATAGTCACAACCATAATAGTAATAATTCCCATAACTAGTTTTGACTTGTTGCAGTCCCAGAAGTTTCGCCCGCAACGTTAATGAGAGGCGTCACACAGCACCAAGTGACAGGTGTACCCCGGTGCTAAGACCGATGGTTCTAGAAATGCTGGGAAGGTATGATCAGAAGCTGGAAATTATCATAGCAAATTTAGCAGAGGACAAAAGACTTGGTACGTTCTGAAAGGAATCCCCGACTAAATTGCGAAAAACGAGGCAACACCAACTCGTTTATTTGGGGGCATTTAATAAAACTATTCAAAAAATAATACTCCTGCTACTGCTGGTCCTTTAAGTTCGAGACACTTAGTAAATAATGAAAATACACAAAAGGCAAAGAACTACCTGATAAATCAAAAAGAACTTCAAGAACATTAGGAAATTTCCATAGGAAATAAAATGTAAATAAGAACGGTGTTGGTTATCCTTCAGTAAATATTAATTCTAAAATTAAATAAGAATTTCCGATTGATTGATTCGAAAATAAGTTGTAGCCAAATTAATTCCATACCTTAGCTTTCTCATCCCCCATCAAATAAAGTTCTTGTTCGCCCATCCAGGCTTCAGCCTCACTAGCATCAAAAAGATATTTTTGGGCGACTTCGTTTTCATCAATCAAGCGTTGTCTCTCAGCGACAGCATTTTGAAGGCGTTCCAAATGGTTCCAGAGATCATCTATTGCTTCACGGAATTTATCACTTCTAGGATGACCTTCGCGGATCATTGAATCACCATCCTAAAGAAAGTAAACAAAACGGAGTTTATTTTATGCTAAAAAGAAAATTCGTTATACGCTACAAATTTAAAATTGGGATAAGAAATGGAACGATCCAAAGTCTGGCAATTGTGATGTCCACAATGGGATGAGAAGACTCCAGTATGACGTTTGAACTAGTGAAAACAGACTTGAAACGTACGACCAAGTTTCATATCCGAGGTTTCTGAGAT